ACACGGCAGTTCACTGACGTCCCACAGAAAATGAAAGGTGGGCGTGAAGGTGGGTGCAGTAGAAACGTATTAACTGAAAGGTAGCCACAAATGAAGCTCTGCTAACTCTGTGATAAACATATATGGTTGCTACCTTCATGCCATTGTCAGGTTTTCTGAGGTGGCCCTAAGTACAACAGCAGACCCCTTATCCCAACGTTTTAAGGAGAAGGATTTTCCATCTAAAGTGATACTTTGCACCTGGAGAGAGGCAGGAAGGCCCAGAGGGATGGAACGGAAATGGTTGTTGTCCAGCTGGACATTCAGAAGCCTCTGTAGAGGTTTGAAAGCTAAAGGTGACACACTTCCCTCATGAAGGAGATTCTCCTCCAGCTCCAGATTCAGCAGGTTTGACAAACCTGAAGGGAAAAATGAAACCATCACTTTCACAAAAGGATGTGGTTTGCCTTTATGTGCATGGATGCAAGTTGTACCTTTGAAGCAGTGGGGGGTGAGTGTATTGAGCTTGTTGTTGTTGATCTTCAGCTCCTCCAGAGACAGTGGCAGCGCCGGGACTGCGGTAATCTGGTTACCATCTAGATTCAGCTTCTTCAGAAAGGTCAGGTTCTGCATGACATGAGGCAAAAAAGAAGAGTCGAACAGGCCAAGATGAAAAAACAGATAAAATGGATACTTGTCTCGAAGTCCATAATTTTCCATCCCAACTTGACAATCAGGATGCAATCACAGACTTCACAGAAATACACCAAATGAGAGAATGTGAGATTCGTGCATCTCCTCCACGCCATGTATCATGTGATATTTTTAGTGAAGCCACTTTGGGTGGCTCTTCAGTGAAAGCTGCTGTGGTGGAACTGTGAGTAAAAGCAGTGGACAAGATCTTTGCAGTATCGCTCCAGCCAGGCCATCGGTCCTCTGTCATTATGAGGATCTGAGCAGAAAATGAAAGAAAAAAAAATAATTCCCCTAAAAATAATTTCCGTGTATTCTCCACATCATTGGCTCCAGCTGTTTTCCAACAGGTCCGTCCAGCCAATACCGTGACAGTATATCAGCGGTGGTGTGTAATGATTGGTCAGAGTGTGGTAGGCTGCTTCGGTGTGGTCAGGATATGTGCTTGGCCTGTGGTCATTTAGAGGTTAGACCAGATGTTATTCTTAGAAGGGATTAGTTAATGCAGTTTTAGTACTCTTTTATTACTGTAATGATACGGGATCCAGGCTGCTTTTTATTTTAATTAGATGCAAAGTAACTTATAAAACGAGCTTGTACGTCACACACATTCCAATTTAGCAGGCTGCAGAAGCTCCATAAGAGGGAAAACAGAGCTGATCGGGACAACGTCAAAGCCGTTCTTCACGTGCTAACCGAAGGAAGGTTTCAGAGGTGTAAACCACAGTTTACCATTTAGACCGACAGTAATATTATGCAACTGTTTATCCTAAAATTAACCCCCAAAAAACTTTTTTCTTTTTTTATTGTACACTGATTTGTAAACGTGAGAATGGCATCCCTTTCCTCCTGGTGGTTTTAACAGTCTGGAAGACGATGATGATGATGATGATGATGATGATGATGATGATGATGATGGTTGAATAATTTATCATTTACTTGCCTTTCCATCAGCTTATCAAAAAAAATCAGCCTTTCCTCTTTACAGATTTTAATAACACCTAAGTTCAAATATTGATCAAATATTTGCACTAGGAATAGCAAAGTGAGACTAAAAGTTTGAGACTGTTGCTTCTTGTTTTTTTTGGCCATGCTTCTATTCGTTTTCTCTTTTCTGGGTAAACAAAGTCTGGTTAAGACTTCCTCGTTCTCTCACTACCTCTGGAAGAGAAAAGACGCTTGTCTCAGGATGTGTTGGAAACTGTGCTGAAGTTGACAAAACACAAGTGTAGGATGTAATTTTAAAAAAAGACACACTCATAAAGAGCAGTTGTATTGCTTAATTAAAAAGAAAAAAGTGAAGTTATAGCTACTTGCAGGTAGAGCAGGCTGAACTGGACCTACAAGTTTGCAACAGTTTGAGCAACAAAGCAGCTCTGTATTTAATGTATTAAATGGCAGGTGGAATGTATTAATGACAATCTGTTCAGGGTGTGAATCTTCTCTCGCCCAGTGTCAGCTGGTTTAGGCTCCAGCCCCCTGTATCCCTTTACAGGGCAAAACGGGTGGAAGCATGTATCAGTGACACTACAAGTAGTGTCATTGATACAGTAGGAACAGGTACTCCATCCCAAAGTAAAGGATAGCTGTACATTGAAGTATGATCACACATACAGAATACAACTAGAAACGTGAGTAGTGATGGCGTCAACGTTTGGATTAGTAGCAGCAGAATGGAGCTGAAATATGCAGACAGAGCAGTATTACTCACAAACAGGGGATTCTGGCTGAAGGACTCATCGTCCAGTTTGTTCTGGCTCAGGTCCAGCGTGTTCAGGTTCGGCAGGCCGGAGAAACTTAGTGGAGTGATGATTCTGATGTTGTTCTCTTTAAAGACAAATTGCATGGTATGATGTAGTGTATGGAAAAAGTGTGGAACGTGGCTAGTAAGTCTACTGACATGAGTAGTTTCGCTCTTCATATCAGAGCAGGAACATTTGAAATACACGTAAATATTGTAATCTGTCAGTGAATTTAATTTTAAGCAAAATAACACTTTATTTTCTCACTAAGCACAAATAGGCTTTTTTTTTTTTTTTTGCACACTTTATATCACACACACCTGCCATGTCCAGCTTTGTGGTCTCCAGGTTATAGAAGACTGGCAGGTGAGTCATGCCGATGGCCCTGCAGCTGATTTCTCCGTCTGCAGTCCGACACTGGAGAGGGGACGCTGTAAAGCTGGAGAATGTTTCTGTTTGATTGCTGGGAGGCTCAGTTGCCTCTTCTTCTTCTTCTTCTTCCTCTTCTTCCTCTTCCTCCTCTTCTTCCTCTTCTTCCTCTTCCTCCTCTTCCTCCTCTTCCTCCTCTTCCTCCTCTTCTTCTTCCTCCTGGCAAAAAAAAACAACAGAAAATAAAAAACATGACAGAAAATTGCTTCATTATTACAACTGGATGATTCAGTTATTCTAACTAAAAAACAATGGCTTTATTGGTACAAAAAAATCAAAACCTCTTCATCATCATCATCATCATCATCGTCGTCATCGTCGTCGTCGTCATCATCATCATCATCATCATCATCATCTTCCTCCTCCTCCTCGTGTGTTTTCCCGTGATCCATCAGCCTTCTTTTCTCAGCATGGAGTTCCTTAAGTGCGGCCATGAGAACGCCGGTCTCCTCCTCTGCTCTTCCTCTCGTTCTCCAGCCCATTAGAGGTCGCCCAAACCCTGCCTACGACAAGCAGCAGGAAACCAGCGACATGATTGACCGAAGGAGCAAAATCAGCATCAACAAAAACAGGACTTTAGCATGATTGAAAAGATGCAGATATCTGTGTTTTGTCTGGTCCTACTATTCTATATGCAGCGGCCTCGACCGTAGCTGCATGCTTCCTCCTGCCCCAGGCGCTTCTCCTACTTCTACCAGCCTCCAGCCTTTTGAAATCCTGTTCAGCATCCATTCGGTGAGGCTCATCCTCACCCTCTTCTTCACCAAGATAAGAACAACAATTATAGACATGAAGAAGGAAAAAAAAAAGACGTGTTAGATTTTGACTCTTGTATAAGCTACAAAACTTTAAACTCTTAAAACAAGACAGAAACAGATAGAAATAAGAAGCTTACCAGCAACATGTGTATCCAAAAACATCCCTCCTGTATCAGTTTCTGGTTGATGCATGCTTGCTTCTTCTAATTCAGAGGAGATTTCCAATAATGCATCCACGCCATGCCAAGAGTCTTGGCTTTGTGCTGATAAAACTGTGCCAGTTAGAGAAATAAACAAAATCCATGTCCTCTGCAGTTGCATTGCTGGTTGAACTGTTGCAGAGAGAAGTCCAAAAAGTTCCAGGGTTGAAGTGAAGAAGATGCAAATCCACCGAAAGCGCAAAGAGAAGAAACTCTGTAAGCAGCCGTCAACTCAGGAGTTTACACCTTAACGTCTCCAGGAGGGATTACGACCTCTCAGTTGTGAGTCAGCATAAAGCGACACATGCCCCCTCCTCAAAATGAATGCTGAAGTGAAGACGGAGCAAGAGGATGGGAAGGTATATTCAGGAGGTGGGGAGGTCAAAAAAAATAAACTCTCACAGTGTTAATAAAGGCCCTCGATCTTCACACCATGAAATACACAGACCCGCCCTGCTCCTCCTCGTCTCCACTCTCTTTCATAACCGTCTGCTGACACGACATGGAAAGAGCGATTTTTTTTTGGTGGAGGTGATGAGGCAGTAAGTTTCATACACCGGTGATAGATTCTAGTCATTTTCATGTAACTTTGACACATGCATTTTTATCCACTGTCACTTTTGTGTTGTCTGAATCAGAGCGTGTTGTCGGCACTGATCTTGGAGCTTGTCCAACAGGAGACAGGGTCGGTAGACAGTTCAGGTCAGAGTCGACCTTGTTTGGCAAAGCTCCACTAGCATCTACATACGAAAACAAACATGAACTCTGAGATGAACAATGAGACTGTCTTTACATTCTGTACATACATACTGTACATGTGCTGTGGAGTGTGTGCATCTTGGCGCTCACCTTGGACCCCTGGCTGAGTGTGGAGCCAGACTGGGATTTTCACTGTGGGGTGAAACCTGCTGACAAACCCTCTGTTTGCTCAACAGCCACATATTAAATCTCTCAAATTGTGCTTTAAAACACACATTGTAATAAACAGTTTCGACTGATACAATAATCTGCGATCAAACCAATGCGTCATATTAATTTTATCCGTCTATTCTTGGCCGTTTCTGGGGTTTTGTGGTTTTTAAGACCAGATGACGAGACAGAGACGACAGCAGAGTCCACACATATCCCAAATGGCACAGCGGACAAGTTAACACCAAACACTGAAACACTCGGGTCCTGAAGTGCTCTTCCAAGGTAAATAGTGATGTGTCCAAAGACGATTCATTGCAATCTTGACAGGAACATGCAGTAAGCCACAGACCACGTTCAACCTCTTCCTAAACCTCAGTCTGACAACACCCTAAATGAAGTTTCCACCAAAAAGAATGAGTCCAAGATATCCAGCATTAATATTTTCCCTACAGTTGCTGGTTCAGGACACAATTTACTACCAGACTCACAGATTAGGATCATTTCTACAACATCTTAGCTCACGTTTACTACTTTCTCTGCTCACTCTAAATAAACATGGCTCAGACGGTCGGACCACTGCCGGGTCAATGACATCCAGGATAGTTATGTGCAAAAAGCACATGTTGAGTAAAACTAGACATCCACAGGCATGAGGCATCTCTCAAAGGCTAGATTTTGTAGAGCTAAATGCTCACAATTACAATATTATTGGTAAAAGTATGTATATTGAAGGTGAATCTTAGTTTCATGCTTCTTCCCTAGAGGGGACATCAAGGCTCCAACTTTTTGTGGTTTCTAAAAAGCTTGAGAACCACTGGTTTAATGCACTACCATCCGAACATCTGCTAGTTAGAACTAAAGTGTGAAGTAACGTTAGAGACAAAGATGCCTTGACACATATTGTCAAACTAAACATGGGCAAAGTAAAACATTTGACAGGATCATGGTGTGAGGTTAGAAGATTACTGAAGTTATTACAGTTCTTCATGAGGACAAACATGAAAGCCATGGAACGTTTAGCAATTTAGGACTTATCAGGGCAAGAAGGATGTTTGTATCATGTTTTATGAAACAATAGGACATCTGACTTAAAATGAATAGCTCAAGTCTTGGGATCCTCAAAGTTTGTGAAACACTTTGTACAAAATTTGGTATCAATCCAACCAGGACATACATTCCACTGGATAAGTAAAAAGTTTGACCATCCGGTGGCACGAGATGGAGAAAAATAAAAATTAAATCAAGTTCACAAGCACACATGGAATTAAAGTACTGAGCACCAGCAACACCCCGAATCATCTGTGCAAAGTTTCATGGCAACAAACAAATAGTTAAGATTTAATGTAGAACTACACAGACCAAGAGGCTGAACTGGCAATTTAAAAAAAGAAGAAGAAAAAGACAACCAATGGCATGAGATTGTTTTTTTTGTTAGTTTTTTTCTTTTAATTCAGCACATCACAGCAATAACAGGATGACACCAGTGACCTTGAACGCCAGTAACATTGCGTGATGCCCATGTGGATCAGGAGGCGTTAGTGGAATGCTGAGTTATAACTTAACTGGTTTCACTTTTCACACTGGGTTTGAAGAAAGTCGTCTTCCACAGCTTACGTGTTAAAGTCACTGAGCACAACTACAGAAGGGCTCTAGGGCACTACATGTATAACAGTAACAGAGAGGCATTGAGACCAGCCGAGTGAGAGGACATGAGGAATGTTCGTGATCGTGTAAAAGGAATGATGGTTGGAATTCCACAAAAGTTGTGGTCCAGCTGTTCGCTGCGGATCAGAGACTGAACAAGATGCTGCAGTGTGGTAGATTTTAAAATGAGTCAGCATAACACTTTTACAGAAGTAGGTGATGCTTTTCATCTGTGCCTCTTGCAAGACTTTAAGAACATAATGGGGGACGCAAGAAAGGAATGTGGTTGCCAAAGAACAGTAGAACCCTTCTGGAGCAGAGGGTAGAAGAAGGTGCATAAAGGGAGGGAACATAAACACTACAGGCTCTGACCACACTGCACTCAGCTCCCTTCATCTATGATAGAAATAATACAGGTGTAGCACACTGCACTTGAGTCAGAGCCACAAGAGGGCACTGGAGATGTTAACAGATCTTCATGTGATTGTGCCAGGTAGCTGCAGGTTGGTTGTGATGAAAGAGAGCAAGAAGCCAGACAAATGTGTGCAGTCCTTAGTTTGCAAAGGTCTGACGCACAGCATTGGCGATGTGCTTAGCGCTGATGCCAAAGATGTCCAGAAGCTCTTGGGGTTTTCCACTACGGGGAACACCGCTCACTGCCAGCCGTGTCACAACAATGCCCGGCTCCCCGCCCACTGCGGACAGCACTGCTTCACCAAGACCACCTGGACGGATGAGACGGACCATCAGAGAGGCACAAACACAGCCCAGCAATGCACTAATACGGGGTGATACAGGTGATTTTTCATTTTCAAAAAAAACACAAATTCGCAACCAATTAGATCAAATAAGGAAAAAACAAATGGAAAAAAGAAAACCTCTCTAATAATCTCATGACTGGAGACCACACAGTACCACTTATAGCAACAATGGTGGATTCTAGGGTGAGAAATGTTTGGCATTTCTTACACGTCTTTGGCACATGATTTAAAGATTCTGCAACAGGATGTTCAAGCTCACAAAACACAACCTACCCTCCTTGTAGTGGTCCTCCACGGTGATGATCTGTCCCCCTGTGGCTCTGGCACTGGACAGAATGGTCGCAGCATCCAGGGGCTTGACGGTGAAGGGGTCAATCACACGGATGTTCTTCCCTACAGGAATTAATAAGGAAATTATTATTGTACTACTAATACCTGTGTGCCAATTAGCTGAACACTTCATTTCCTGGACTTGGAAATGTGGGCCTCGCTACATCTGTCACCTATAGAACAGTGTGGGTTTACCTTCTTTGGCCAGAACGTCAGCAGCAGCCAGGGCCTCATGCAAAGTAATACCAGCTCCAATCACAGTCACCCGATCGCTGTTGGACTGGCGCACCACCTGGTGATGCAGACAGAGTTATTCCTATTGGGTGTCCACACTTATCGTATGATTGTTTAAAGGCATAACTTGCATAAGGATTATTGTGTGTAAAAATCACAATACTGATCATCACCTTGGCTACGCCCACTTCAAATTTCTCATCCGGAGAGTAGAGGACTGCAGTTTCTGGTCTGCTTGTACGAATGAAACAGATACCCTGAGAACAGAAAGTGGTACGTTACAAATTTTACTCCCACACCTTAGTAACAACAGTTTACTAGTCAAGCTACCACAAGGTGGCCTTCAGACCTTTATGTTGGCTGATAGTTCAATAGCTCTTTCTGTGGACACTGCATCACTGGGGTAAAACACAGTACAAGTTGGAATGGCACGGAACATGGCCAGGTCCTCTAGGGCCATCTGGGAAGGACCATCCTCACCTGGAGGGAGAATATGACTAGTCAAGGACAATGTTCACCCTTTCGGTCCCATATAAAACGAATGGTGCTTAAGCAAAACGCTTACCAATGGAGATTCCGCAGTGAGACCCCACAAGGTTGACATTTGTCTGGGAGATGGCTCCCATACGAATCTGGTCATAGGCTCTTGAGAAGAATGCTGCAAATGTGCTGGCAAACGCAACTGTGCGGTCACGGGCGGCACAGCCAATAGCCACTCCCACCTGCAGAGACATCGGTAACATGGGTTAGTCTAAATGAAAAAGGATTAAGCAAAAGGTGTACGTGTTTAAGCTCATGTGGTCACAAGTGACGGCCACAGAGAGGCTGGGATTATCAGGTGTGAGAATGAATAGTAACAGATTAGACCAAGTGGGAGCAGATTATGGTCGTGAAGAGTGTCGAGTGAGCCAAGTTTATACTTCTTTCATAACTGTTATGAAGTATGAAAAGCCAGAACTGATGGTTTGACTTTTGTAAAAAGTGACTCCGCTGTTTTTGAAAATATCTTTAATTAAAGCTACACCCTTAAAAAAAACAAAACAAAACTGTACAACTGCAAATAACCGAACAGCATCAAGAGCACCCGAGGAATGAAATGCTGCTAATGAAATACTGCTTACCATGTTCTGTTCGGCAATGAAACACTCAATGTAGCGGTCAGGGAAGGCCTTCTTGAAAGTCTCTGAGAAGGTAGAGTTTTTGGTGTCTCCATCAAGGGCCACCACTCTCGGGCTTGCCTGGCCCAGCTTTGCCAGTGCCACACCATATGCTTTCCTTGTTGCCATCTAACACAGAAGGAAATTGGTTTAAGCAAGAACAGGTCAACAAGTAATTAATGCCACAGAATCTTTGACATTCAGGTCGATAATTATACCAGGTGCTAAGTATCCCAGGTGTTGATATCAGCATTAGAGAAGGTGATTGTCCAAGTGACTATGCATCCATTACCAAACCGCCCGCCTCCCAAAGAACACTATCCTGTACGAATCCTATGTTGGATTAAGAAGCATACAGACAAGACTTTGAAGGTACCTTGTCTCCCTTCTTGTATGCTGGGGGTGCAGGCAAACGGATGGGGCTCAGGTCGGCAGGTGCTGTATCTTCTTGGGGCAGCTGAGGGCAGACAGTCTTGTTGGGGACCTGGATCAGAGACTGCAGGTCATTCAGGAGGTCGTCCATCTTGTCCTTTGGGATTGGCTTTCCATGCCAGTTATCCTGATCCTCAATATCTACAACCAAGGAGTAAACAAGTCTCATAAATCAGGTTCAGAGAATGCAATGAATCACTGGAGCAGACAAACGTTCAACATATGAAAAACACCTACTTTTGAGTCCTTTGCCCTTGAATGTCTTGGCAACGATGCAGGTGGGTTTATCCTTGACCTGCTGAGCCTGCCAGAAAGCTTTGCAAAGCTCCTCCACATCATGGCCGTCCACGACATATGTGTTCCACCTACACAAAACAGATTTAAAAGAATACAGCACATTACAACAAATATTAACCCTAAACTCAAGGATGCATCGACGACTGGACAAACACGTTAACCATCAAACTTATTAACTTGGCCAAGGAAGGCAAAGACAGACGAGAGAGGGCAAGAGACCAAAGGAGGTTGGGGAAAGTCCAGCGAGCATGTGGACAAACTCACGTGAAGAGGTGATAAAGTCTATATTCAACAGCTTTTTTAATTTGTGTGTAACAAGGCCCCAATTATTCAAATGGCACAATATTAGAAATCTATCATTTTGACAGTGCATCTACAGATTTACTGACCCAAAGGCTTCACAGCGCTTGCGGTAGGTCTCCATGTCGTGCCTCAGGGGTGCAGCCTCACTCTGACCGAGCCGGTTGACATCTAGGATGGCCACCAGATTGTCCAGCTTGTAGTAGGAGGCAAAGGCCATGGCCTCCCACACTGAGCCCTCTGAACACTCTCCATCACCCATCATGCAGTACACACGGTAACTACAAATCATAGTGTGGGGGGAAAAAGGGGGGGGGAATGAATGACAGGCACTGGTTTTGGAGAATGAGGCACACAATGGTTACTGCATAATTAAATTGAAGCTTAAACTGGACAACTTTAGAGGAAAGTTAGAGGAAAGCATTCCTGCCTGTGGCCATCAGATTGTACGACTCTTCACTCTGAGTGTCGGACAGCCCTTTAAAATATTTAGGAACTATTTGCTGAGTGAAAACACTGATCACAGACTAATCTGATAATTCTCCAAATAACGATTTTTGTTAAGAAAAAAAAATAAATTAGACATTTTGTCTGTGGGAGGTACACACTACTGC